ATATTTAATTCTATTATAATATTATTATCCCACGCTACCTCACATCCACCACCCCTACCGCTCTGGGGAGTATTCCGACTATCGTTCCGGTCATAACTCATCTCCGGCGACCGTTTCGACGATTGCTCCGATTCCGACGACGATTCCGACTCCGGTGAAAATTTTTAGGTCACAATTCAAAATTTTTATAAGTCACAATTTGTTTATTGGCACAACTTAAAAATTTTAAAATCACAATTTGTTCATCGGTCACACATCACAAAATTTATAAGTCACAATACTTATTTATGTCACAATTTATCAATTTATAGGTCACATATAATAATTTTTAGGCCACACAGCTTGTACTTATCACAGTTTAACTAATTCATAGGTCACAAACCAACCAAATTATTGGTCACAAAAAATCAAATCATTTGTGACCACCACTTCACCACTGCCTCCACCAGCGGCACCACCATCGTCGCCGCATCTTCACCACCATCCTGCGTAGCACGACCACACCCACCACACGTGCACACATCCAACCATAACACAACAACACCGCAACGATCTCACAGAAACACCACAACCATCGCACAGAACCGCAACCATGGCACAACCATCGCACGAAAACGCAACCACCGCACGCAACCAGAAACATACCGAAACCACACGATCACCATCGCCACACAAACACACACACACCTAACCATCGCAAACACCGGAACCAACAGCCAACCAGCTACAACAACCAATAACCAACCATCGCAAACCGGAACCAACAGCCAACCATCGCAAACCGCACGATCACCACGAACATCGCACCCAACCAGTTACAACAACCACGGTACCACCGCCCCCTCTACGCCACCAACATCAACACAAAAACAACATACAAACCTCATTTCAAACACAACATTCGCCCCCTCTGCGCGATATTAACGGATGAAAGAACACAAACGAAATGTTGGATCTCAAATCGGATCGGGCGGGCAGATTGGGGTGGGGTGTAAACACAGACGAAATGTTGGACCTCAAATCAGATCTGGGCGACGGATCTGGGCCGGTAACATCGTTAGACGGTGGCTCTGCAGCAGCCGTGGAGACGAGAGCGAGAAACGAGAGAGTTGTAGAGAGAAGGAGGAGAGGAGAGGAGAGCAAGAAGAGTGACGACGGTGATTGTGGCGGCGGTGTAGGCGTAGAGAAGATAGAAGGGAGGAGGATGAGAGTGGAGAGGTAATTGGGGCGGTGGGAGGAGAGATGGTGGAGTGGAAGAAGTGGTTGAAATGATTTAGGGTTTGGTTGGGTCAAATTATTTTATTGTATATAAATATAAAAATAAAAATAAAAAATGTTTTTAAATTATTAATTAAAACCTGATTTTTGAAATGTTAAACTTGTGATCTTATTTATGAAATTGGAAATCTAATTCCAGGTGTAGGTATAATTTCCTCAAATGATAATAATAAACTTAA